CACGTCGTTCTCGGTGCTGTAGTGCGTGCTGAGGACTTGCGGGGCGAAGCCCGCGGGGCAGTGCTGGATGCAGCTCTTCTCGTGCAGGGAGAAGCCTTCCTCGCACACTGCCGGAGGGAGGGGGGCGGGGTGAGCCAGGGCAGCCCCAGCGCAGTCCCCACAGTCCCCCGGAGCTCCCAGCCCCAGCACTGTCACCCCAAGGGATTCAGCATCCCTTCAGCATGGCCTGGGACAAGCACCCCGTGTCCCCGAGTGCCAGACCCCAAACCCAACAGCACCCACTACTAACCCACGCAGGCCTGGCTGGACGTAAGCATCTTGCAGCCGCTGCTCTCGGGTGGCGTGGGCAGCCCCTCGGGTGCCGTGCCATACAGCACGAGGGTGAACTTGGTCAGCGTACCTATTCCAGGTGGGGGAGGAGGCCAGAGTGAGCGGCACTGGGACCCCACGGGGACCCTGGCTCTCCCCCGTGGGGCTCCCCCACCCTCAAGTGTCCCCCATACCATAGTTGTTAGCTTCGCTGGTGTTTTCAATCTCCAGGACCCACTCGCCGGAGGGGTTCTCATCCCAGGAATGGGTTGTCATGAAGGCCCAGTCATTAAACCCATCCGCCGAGTAGTCATGTGGCCTGGGGGAGCAGGGTGCACACAGCCGTCTCAAGCCCGGGGGGACCCCAGCCGGGAGCCCCAAACCCACCACACACCCTCCCCCTGCAACACCAACCCCGCCGCAGGGCTGGAAACGCCTGCTGGCTCTGACTCCCGTGAGGCCAGATAGTCTTAACCAGAAGCTTCTGGAAATGTGCGAGGGCAGGCACGCAGACGTGGCATGCGGTGGGTGGAATCGGGGATTCCTGCAATACGGACAGTCCCATAGGGCGAAACCATCCCTGCCAAGATGCCAGCAGGGGGAGCATTCGGCGGCCACCAGGACTAGGGGAGTGAATGAGTGAGCGAGTGAATGAATGAATGAATGCGTGTGGGCCTGAGGGGATGGGCCGTGCAGGGGAGGGGACAGGGCAAGCACCTGGCGGCCAGCAGAGTGGAGCGGGTGCCCATGGGGCTGACCAGGTGGATGGCCAGGTCGCCCCGGCGGTTGTAGGACAGGGTGAGGCGCGCCTGCGCGTGCTCCAGCCGCGTGATGTGGCCGGCCTCTCCCAGGCAGGCGGTCACCGTCTTCCGCACCTCCAGCCGCTTCCCGATGTCC